AGTTGTGAATTTTTGTGTATCTATTTTGCTGTCAGAAAAAAAGATTTTTCGGTTGCCTTTTTTTTAAACACCAATTTAGCCATATGATGATGATGACCCAAAACAAGACTACACAATTTTTGTTCTTGAAACTTTTCTCTATTAAATTTAGTGCAGAATGACTCAAAATATTATGAGTTTGCCCTAAATAGTTGTGAGGCTTTGGCATTGTTAGTTGACATTAGAAATATGTGGTATACAGAAAGTGCAAAGGTTAATGGGTTTGGTAGTCAGTGGATTAAATGGTGCTCTTATAAGTGATGCCTCTTACTACCTGAAGTATTTATCCTAGTTCTGACAAATATGTTTTTCTTTAACATGATTAGTATTGCAAAACTAAATAAGCTATTTTCAAACTAGCTTGGAAAACTTATTTGTGAAATTGTTCTGGACATCAAAATACACACAAAAACAGAATTATGGATTTATTGAGACAATAACAAGATTTTCTTTTCACACCTCAAATTGCAAAACTATGCAAATATAAAAATATAGGATAATCAAGAATACCAGACCATGTCAACCTTGAACAAATGATTATTATTATGGATTTTAGAGATACTATCACTGAGAATTATTGCCTGTTTACAAAACCATTGTGTGCCTTCATATCTCTCTCACATCCACTTCACCTTGCCAATGATTATCAGTTTTACAAATCTGTTACAATACTGTCCAGTCCTGTTTCATGAAGACTGTTCCATTACGCATGTAAGGGACAAGACTGACATATGCATACCACAATGATGCAAATAAATATAGCAACAAACAGGAAAGCATCTGAAATAAGGCTACATTTTTAGCCTTATTATGAATGCACAGGCTAGGACTGTACTTATGTACTCTCCAATCATGTTAGTAACACTACATGTTGACTGCATCAGATATAAAGAAATGCAGTAACTAGCATATGGAATGCAGATAATAAATATTGTTATAAGATCATATAATATTAAACATATCAGCATCCTCTTGCATGCTGTAAAGTTGTATTCTGTGAGCCAGAATTATTGCCCTGGATGCTGTGTCATACATTTCATTGCAATGTAATTACCATGGTGAGATTATAAATTTTATTAACATCTTGAAATGCAAGCAACCTTAGTTGCTATGTGAAACTAGTTACAGTACTACTGCTGCTGCTTCTTCTTCTTCTGTTTTTTACTACTCTCTAATCTACAAAAAAGCATAGGCCCTCAACCAACTTATACCAAGTAGTACCATCTTGTGCTCTCACATTCCCTTCCCATCTTTTTAACTTTAGTCTCTAGCTTCCCTAACCCTAATGGTATTGCTATTGTGATTAAAAATCTCAGCTAGTTTAATTACAGAAAGAAACCTTGAATTCTTGCTAATTTCTGATTAATTTTATGATCTTCATTCCAAATGTGGCAGTGTACAAAAATGGAGGCAAATGCTCTTTCTAGAATATTGTACGCATTCACAGCCAAACACAGACAATAGTTGTCCAGGGCAAGATTGTAATCATTATCCAGATACCAAGCCATGAAAAATTCAGCCGCTGCCTCATGGAACAAGCCCAGCTCCATGAGAGCATAGCCAAGGACGGAGTACAGAAATGGAATGTCCCTGGCATACACCTCCCCCATGAGAGAAATCACGGCCTCCTCTGCATGTCGCAGCTTGCCGAGCATTTTGTAGGAAAGCACTAAAATATAATAACCCAGAACTGATGTGGGCATGATGGCTTCCTCTTGGGCATCGACTTCCTCCTGAAGTGGTTCAGGTAGTGTTACCCGCTCCAGACCCCCATATACAATGTGACATGACCACGGGCGTGGAAAAAACAGAGAGTTGTCGATGTTCTCTTCAGTAAGATCTTTTCTTGATTTGAGAGAATCTTCCAGATACATTACAGCGTCTTCGTAGTTTGCCTGGCTGTACAGGAAGTTGGCATACTTCACACATACACTTGGGTTCAAATCTTCCTTTAGGGCTGCCTGTTAGGATATACAATAATGCTACAATTCAAATATATCTGAAAAGTGACAAGTCACAGAATATGCAACTAGTTTTTGTTAATTAAATAGCCTTTTTTTTAATGGTATAAGAATAGCAGTACTGCATAACACACACTGCAACCATTCACTGTGTTAAACAAGAAAACAGGAAAAGTAAAGTATCCTTTTTCACATCTTTAGGTGTGTTGGACATATAGGGCTAGATCTATATTTTATAGACTCAGTAGGTGATGTGATCAACATTATGCCAGCCGCTTTTACTTCCCAGGACTGTACCTGGTACCCATTTAAGGTTGGGTCGTTCACTGTGTATCTGTCTTAATTCTCCTTAACGATAACATCAGAAAGGTGAATAAATTGCATACTACAAATGAATTCAACACACCTTCACTATAATTTGATTGAAATTTATCATGGTAACAGTTTGAAAAACCCACACATTCATCATACAATGAGTCTAATTTGCCAGCTGAAAATGATCAATAATATTTATACACTTTAATTTTGAAATAAAAACATACAAGATTTTGAGGTATCAAACCCAAATTTCTAGCTAAATGTAAATTCTAATTTGTCTTCTTCTTCTTCTCTGTGGTCCTTCAAAAGTATGGTTGGTGTGTTGAATTCAATTTACAAAATACTCGTTGAGGCAGTGGTTCTACTGTTATTCTATTTTTCTCTTATTCCGGCCCAGGTGATGTGATTATCTTATCTATACAGATGGCTCTGTATTGAAAGGCAGATTGATTGATTGATTGACTTTCTACCCCACCAGGACATCACACAAGCGATAAACACCCGATGACACAAAGTGCCACCATGCGGATGAGGATCCCCGTGGAGAGGTCCCAGAAACCGCGTTCAGACAATTGGCCATATTGATGGCCTGCCTATATTGCGACCCCTGGCAAAAGCCAGAGTGGGGCTTCAAATAACAAAAAATTACGTCCTAAGGAGGGCGTATTTGATATCTCGGAAAGGCAGATGAAGTGTATAGGGGTTCATAGCAAAAGCAAATGGACGTCACTTAGTGCAGCAAAATCTGGCATATGATATCACAATATCTAGTTTGAGAATAGAGGTGGAGGCAGTCTCTGCTGCCTTCTGCTAGCTTGAGAATCAGCTGTAATGCACATGTAATAATTGAAACTGTCTCACAGAGCATGTTGAGAAAGGTGGAGACAGGCATGCTCCATAGAGAGATGCAAGCATCGCTTCAGAGGCCCTGGATAGTTAGCGCCCTTTGGATATTGTCCTCAGGTCATGCCGGTGTGTTGGAAAACAAGCAGGTAGATAGACTGGCAGTTCTGCACCATTTGGTGGTGAATTGATGCATCACAAACTGTGTTATGAGGGCCCTTTGGGAGTGAGTGAACAGTGCACAAATAGATCAATACAGTCTGAGAAGAATGGTACTGCGAAGAGTTACTATGGGACCTGGCTGACGCTCAAATCTCAAGGGAAAGGCGAGATGGATATACAATCAAACAGTTACTGGTACCATTGGATTTGGAACTCTTTTGCCTGCTGCTGAAGATGAGGATGGAGCACTTATGGGAGTGTTCTGAGTGCTTTAATTTTTTTAATCAACATTCTATAATGCCTTCCAGCATCAGGGCAGGAAGAGATTTCTGTAAGGCTTCGTGTATAGTACTTTTCTGTGCCTCTAGTATTCTTGTGGTTCATCTTCTGCACGGTCGATATCTGGCTCTGTTACTGCTGTATCTATACAATATTGCTGTCTGTGGTGCCCTGTCTGTTGTCAGCCTCATTAAATAGCTGAAACATTTGACTAGTTATCTGCCAACGAAGTTCAGTATTGGTTCTGTGTCGACTCTCCTCCAGATATCATCATTCTTAAGTCGATCTTTGCTTCTTACACTCAGAATAATATGTGAACATTTCATTTCTGTCATGATTATTTTTCTTGTCTTCTGAAAACAGTGTCCTTTCAGGCTAGTAAAACACAACTTCCACTCTAGGATGTCTGAAACTCACTTCAGTTAGACTATTGGTATTTGATAATTTTAGAATATTTAAAATGCCAATTACAGCTGCTTTCTTATTAACTAGTTTTATTTATTCATTTGCACCTTTCTGTCTTTTCAGACGATAGTGTTATTTTGCGCTATGAGGAGGCATGAGACTCACAGCCCATGGCGATGGTGAGTGTGACTAGCAAGGCCCGCCCATGTCAAGAAAAGTCTTCCACAGTGATAGCATGGGATTTCAGGACCTTTGTTATCAACATTTATCACCATAAAGGATGTCCTTAGGGATTCTGCCATCCTCCATTCTCCAGGTGTGACTCAGCCACCTGAGCCTTCGTAGACAGCATGGAAAAGACTGTTGTAGTACCTGCTCTTTCCAAAGCCTCAATGTTTGTGGTTTTGTCCTGCCACCTAATGCCAAATATTCTTCTTAGGCATCGCATGTGAAAACTATTTAGCCGTCTCTCCTGGTGCAAATAGGTTGACCAAGTTTCACTGCCATAAAGCAGAGTGCTGAGAACACAAGCCTGATAGAAAAGGGTTTTTGTTTTAATTGTGAGCTTTCTGTTCTCCCAAAATCTCTTTGTCAATCTGCTCACTGTTGTTGCTGCCTTACCTATCCTGATGTTGATTTCTTGGTCCAGTGATAGTTTACTATTCACTGTGGAACCCAGACAGGTAAAATGGTCTACTGACTCAAGCTCTTCACTATCAATGTAGACTGTAGGTCTGTCATTAACACCTTGCACCATAACCTTTGTCTTCTTTTTGCTGACTGTTAATCCAAATTCACAGCACACATCAGCAAAGTCAGTAAACATTGCAGCTCCTCCTCTTAGTGGGTCGTTATTGCGGCATCAATTACCTACTACTGAATATTACTGCTTAAATTTCTATTTTTCGTTCTCTCTTCAATTTGAAATATAATTAAAAAGACTCTTCTTGTACAATATTTACAAAACTTTATTTAAACAGTTGTGTGCCTTACCTGGAAATATTGCTCAGCAGAGAGAATCATGTCTAATTCACTGTCAATGTCTTCACAAATGCAGGCTTTAACGTAGCACATAGTGGCCAGGTTGCCCAAGGTAATACACATTTCTGGTGCCAGCTGGCCATAATGTAGCTCTCTACAAGGAGATGATGAAATTTAATATTTATTCAACGGAAGATTAAAAATTTTTTATACATGATAAATGGTGCTAAGAAAACTAATCGTAATTAAAAATATTTTTAGCAGATGCATTTACATCAGCAGACATTTGTGGTAAAGTGATAGAACATCTCTGTAAGAGAGCAGTTACACGTCTCTATGTTAAATTTTATGTGGTAGAATATCTCTGTAGGAAAGTGGAGAGATATATCCTAGGTAAAGTTTATGTGGTAGAACTCTAAAGATAATTGATAAGATATATCAATGATATGTGGTCAGACATATCTGTAGTTATGTGGTGAGACATCTCTTTCATAAATTGGTGATACATCTCTGCAATAAAGAGATGATACATCTTTATGTTAAAGTTTATGTGGTGGGACATCTCAGTAGGAGATATCTGAAGTAAAGTAGTGCGATTTTTCTATGGTAATTTATGTGGTAGGACATCTCTGCAGCAGTGTGGTGAAATATCTTTTTGGTAAATTTAGATCACCACAAATGTAGAGCAGCAGGACATCTGCTATTGTGAGACATCTCTGTGTTTGAGTAGCAGGAGATTGACATTACAGATAGAGATGGGGTACATCTCTACGGCAAAGTTTCAGTGGCATGGTATCTCTGTGGTAAAGTAGAGGCTTTCTCTGTGATTTTTATGACAGAAAAACTGTTTAGGATTCATCTTGATCAAGTGCCTTGATTGGCATTAGCAATTATACCTCTCCACAATCTGCAATCTCCAACAGCATGTATCAGTTCATGTGCTGACACCCCTCCATGCCATGATAAAAGGCTATAAATATCTTTTCCCACTGTCCACCTCTATCTGTCTTTCCACAAATCTTTCTGGTGATCACAACATATTCCAGATTCCTCCTTCTGATATTACTTCCAAACAATGATGACTGTCTTCTTCTGATATTTGGGATAAGTTGTCTTCAGGCGTCACCTCTTTTTAAGTTTTTACTGTTTACTACTGTGGAAGCATATTTTATTCCTGTGATCAATTTACATTTAGTTATGCTAAGATGTGTCAAAATACAGCTTGAACACAAGGTAATCTGGTAATCTGGTAATCCTAGTTTCAGCTTCATAGCAAACGGGTCACCCCACATATGCTCCGCTCCTGTGCCAACGAAAAACAAACGCAGCTCACAGTGTCACGCCATGCACTCAACTCAGAAGCTGGGCGACGAAACTACAACCTTCCAGTCTACAAATGGAGCAAAAATGCAACGGCCACCGTCTGGCAAAAAAAAAAAAAAATATTTGCCACGGCTTTAAAAAAAAAAAAAAAAGGGTGGCCGTACCTAGCGTCCATTTTGACCGGAAGAATTATATGAGGGTTAATAAACGGTCACCCCAGCAGTACCCTCATTATAAGCTGGGGAAGGGACTTAGGACATTACATCCACCAGCAGGCGTCGCCCCTACAACGACCTGCCTGCCATCGTTAACGACTGATCACCCAACAGCCATGCAGTTCTTTGGCACGAAGGAGACACCTTGAACTTGGGTTTCGTACTGCCGACTCCCTACTAAGATGTTATTTTATATTCTGTTATCACAATTAATGTCACTGCACATTGGGCATACCCATGCGTGCTCAGTTCTTGAACACAAGGAAGGATGCCTGTGTCCCAGAACAGAGGAGGAGAGTCTTCAGTAGCTTAAACAGGATTTAACTTTCCTGTCATGTGTTGTATTAAAACTGCAGTGACTAAATTTGTTTTAATTAGAGTTTTTCACTTTTTAAAAATTTATCTTCATGCAAATTTCACTGATTACAAATTTGAATTAGAAGAGGAAAAATAGTGACATCTTTCAGGGTCTGAGCATAAAGTGGGACCAGCTCACATGCAGTATTTCTTTGAGAATGAAATACTTCTGCCATATAAAAAGTAAAAGTCAACAGCTAAATACTGGCCCAAAATAATAGTTTGAAGGAAGTAATTTTTCTAACAGGAAAAAAGATATTTATATTCAATAACTCTCATTTCAAACAATGTTTTTTGCCAATTTGAGACAACTCAGTCTTTATGATTCCTGAAAATTGTAACACTTGCACACACATTTCATGGACATCCTGTTTAGAAGAAACGTGCAGAACAAAAAATGCACAAACACACCTTCCTCCCCCCCCTTCTTTCTTTCTTTCCCCTTCTGGACCTATCTTTTCCTCCCTCTCTCTCCTTTTTGCTCTAACCTATGCCTCCTTCTCCACTCTCTTTCAGTCTCTTTTCTTCTGTCCCAAAAATCCCTCTCTAAATATATTACACATTTTCTGGCAGAAGGAAACACCTCTTTAATCTCACCTGAACACTTCCAAGCTTTCTTTATAAGACTCAATGGCCTTGTCCACATCTCCTGCCATGGAATGCATCTGGCCAAGTTGGTGAAGGGTACTGACCAAATCTCCTGTAAACAGCAGTGATTTCATATTTATGTGTATAAACATGACACTTTTGGGACTATTTTAACAGTCTGCTACAGTTAGAATGTATAATCATGAAATTCCTCACATTATACTAAAAAAAATCTAAATATAATCTCTAATTATTGTGTTGTTTTTTTTTAAATTAAAATTGTAAAAATTGAGCTTTTTTCAGGAAACAAACAACACTGAAATTATTCTCTAATTTCTGCACAATATATTCCTTAAAAAGACAACACTAAGCTGTTTGCAGTAAAACTAATAATCTGTTAACTAAAAAAAAAAAAAAAAAGCTAAAAATGTACACCTACAAATTTACTTTGTGAAGGCTATCTTTCACTGCTAAAGAGACCATAAGTGCTCTGTCTTAGGTATCTCACCCTAGCCTGCCACACCAAGGATCAAACAAGAAGAATCTCAGCACAGTGAACTAACTCCTTGGCAGTGGCAAGGATCCAAATGTTGATATGCCAGAATCACACCTACTATAAAAAATGGATTGCTGGTAGGTTTTTCTTCATATGTACAGCTAGACCAACAAACACTCAGTGTCATAAATTGCAAAGAGAAGACAAATCACAGAGATGAATGAAGGCAGCAGGTGAAAATGCAGCACTTAATGTGAAGGGTTCAGAATGTTGGAGAAGAAGAAGAAGCAGGGAGGTTTTATAATTTTTAAATTCAGCCACTCAGTATTGAAATTAGAAAATCTATCCTTCTTCTTCTTTTGAAACTCAGCCAAGTTAGTCCCTTTATGGTTCTAGGGCCTATTGTGGAGAAGGAAAAAAAACAACAGACCCCCTGCCTCTCCAACAAGCATGTCATAGGAGTCAAATAATATGGGGTGTCCTCTGAAGTCGGAGTACATCTGCCTGAGATATAAGGAACCACAAGTCTGCATAAAAATACAAAGGATCTGTAAAACAGATGTGCACACAATGCTCAGGTTCTGGGACAGGACTTGAGTCCAGAGGTGAAGGCACATCCAGAACTTTCTGATAACATTTCAGCCAATGAAGATGAAAAAGAAGAAGAAGCCTAGTCAGTCAGAAACCTATGCAGATGCTCTTGACATTTTTCAACTCCAAACATATTTACAAATACACAATATGCAATCTAGCTGAATTAAGGTGAACCACCTTTCCTCAAAGACATACCATTCTCACTTCCACATTTGATATAAAAAAAATACAGGTAGTTCCATAACAGAAACTGCCAGATCATCTATACTAAGCCACAATATATAACCCCCACCCCCAGCCAGTTTTCTTCCCCATCACTTTTTCTTTGAAGACAATTCTGGAAATTGTTTGGAACCCATTACAGAGATTGGGTTGACTTTGGGGGTCTTACTGGTTATTGTATTCTCTAACATAAAGAATTAAAAAAAAAAAAAATAATGATTCAAAGGTCTGTACGATTGTACTCATGGCTTAGGGAGAGTGGCAGACAAGTCGCACAGTGGAAAAGACTTGTGTCTTATCATTCAATTCTTCCTCTTCTTCCATTTGCTTGAAATAGATTATCTATATATGCAATGTCATCTCTAGTATGAACTTTCCTGTCTTTTGTAATGCACTCAACAACCCGTAAAGTTTTAGCTTGCCCCAGTGTTTCTCTTGGCCAAATGTTTTGTCTTGACATGTTGTATTTGGAACAGTTTTGGAGGACATGATCTGTTGCTTCAGGTGCTTATCCACACATACACACATCTGATTTGCATATCTTAAATATTTGTACATGTGGCTGCAAAGTCAAGTGTGTCCTGTTCTAAGGCATAGAATAATAACTTGCTCTGCTCTGTCCATAATATGGTAATCAGCTTGTGCTGGTTTTGGTGGGTTTTTTTTAATTATTATTCTCGTATTTTGATGTTAAAAGACTGGTACGGCAGGTTGCTCTTAATTTGCACCTTCCTTAGCTAGTTTATCAGCTCCCTCATTTCACAGAACTCCACAGCGGGATGGCATCCATTGCATAATAACCTTACATCGGTTGCCTAGTTTGGAAAGTAGTGTCTGTATACCAGGTAATTTTCCAGATTCCAGTGTCTGAAGTACTGCTCCTGCACCTATCAGGAATACCATGGGTTGTAAATTATGACATATAATTAGCAGTTTCACTGCTGGTATCTTGATGGCCTGAACTTCTGCATCACAATTTTGATGGTGCTATTATGTTAGTATTTTGGCTGTAGATCTGGTGTTATTTTGAAGCTCAATATATATACTCCTGATCCTCCATTTCTTACTGTGTTTTGTGATCTGTGTAGGCACGAACCCAAAAATGTATCCTTTAATTTTAACACAGACAGGAGTGTTTGCACATATTAACTCCAGCCAAGCTCCACCCTGGAGACAACAACAACAAAGCATGAAACATCATCAATATTAGGAACAACCCCTCAGGGACAAGAATAACCCACCTTTGATGTCATCCTCCAGCACATCCTGAATGTCCCTTGCCTGTTCTAGATAGTGAACAGCATTTTGGTATTGCTTCATGCTAATGTGGGCATCAGCAGAGCGGCTCAGAAGCTGGTTGTGGAGGGCCATGTCCAGGTTTTCTGTAGAGGTTGTCATGTTACTGCTGACACTTTCCTCCATCCTCTCAAAGGCTTCACTTTCTGTTGATGATGAAACCTGAGGACCGGAAAACAGTAGATATATTAGGATATTATTTAGGATAAATTCAAGAAAAGCAAAGAAATCAGAAAAATGTCAAATAACTGCTGGTTTCAGCATATAAAAGTGAAAGAAGATAGTGATATATTGGGTAACTCTAAGGCAAATTGGGCAGAGAATCCACAAAAAAGGTACTGAAGTGGGAGACAAATGAATTCTCATAGCTAGGATATCTGGGGAAACCCTACAATGAAGAATGATAAAAGAGATCAGATGTACCAGACTGGGCTTCATACACAGTATGGAAAGGATTGCACATGATATGACTAACTGACTTTTTACCTTACCAAGACATCACACAAGTGATAAACACCCGGTGACAAAAGTGCCACCATGCAGATGAGGATCACCCATGCAGAGGTCTCAGAAACCTCTTTCAGCTGTAAGGCCATATCTATGGCCAGGCCATATCTATGCCCAGGCTATATTCAGGGCCCCCCGGCAAAAGTCAGGGTGGGGATTCAAAAAACAAAAAATATTGCTTCCCACATGGGGATGACTAACGACCTCTGGAGTTTTTTTGTTGTTATGGCCCTTAAAGTCGATGTTACAGCCATTTGAATGTCATATCATCAAAGAAGTGTCTTTAATTTTGGGAATAGAAAATAATCACAGGGAAACAAATCTGGGGAGAGTAGGGTCGATGGTTGAGAACACACTTGTTTTGGGGCCAAAAATTCCTGTACAACTACCGCCTGGTGAGCCAGTGCATTGTCATGAAGAAGGAAAAAACTGCCAGGTGTTGAATATTCAGGTCGGACTCTGAGAATCCTTTTCAATTGACATTTCAAAATACTTTTTAAAAAACTGTGGCTTTGACAGTCTGTCCCTCAGGAATAAATTCTTTGTGAATAACTCCTTTGCTGTCGTAGAAGCACACCAATATTGTCTTTACTTTTGACTTTTGAAGATGGATTTTTGTGTCTTTTGGTGGTGATGATGACTTCCAGTAAGCACTTTAGCGTTTAGTTGTGGGATCATAGCAGAAAGTCCATGATTCATCCTCTGCAACAATCAAATTTAAGAAATCTTTATTTCTGTGACATGTTTTGATGATGTCTTTTTCATACTCAATATGCTGATGTTTTTGGGCATCAGACAACGAATATGGTACAAACCAGCAAGCAAATTTTTTCTTGCCCAAATCTTCTACTAAAATTTTACGAATGCTCTCTCTATTAACATCATATTTATTCGGCATCATCCTCACAGTCAAACAATGATCTTCTTGTATCCGTTCTCTGACTTTTGCAATGAGTTTCTTATTATGAATAGAAACTGGGTATCCAGGTCTAGTTGCATTAGTAATAATTTCTACATCACTTTTGAATCATGAATACCAGCTGAAAATCTGTGCACATAATAAACAATCATCCCCATAAACTTGTTGCATCAATTCAACTGTCTCGATGGCATTTTTTGAGTTTTACACAAAATAAAAAATACTTGATAAAGCATAGTAAGCACTATTTCCTGTGTAACTATGTGACTGCAATTCTTTTTTTAATATAATTTTCAAAAATGTTGCTCTATTGTGTGAGGGATCAAATATAATCCTTGTTTTACATATCAGAAATAAAAAATCAAGAAACTGCAAAGCTTTTCATTAAAGCGTAAATACTTTCCAGGCAAAGATTTGTGTCTCACAGCTTCTTATCCTTTTCTGCCCCAAACAGCGCACCATGTGGGATCAGCTACTGATTAAATGTATCAAGAAAGGCACCTTGTATTAACATACGATAAGCTTTTGGTCTGAACATACTTGAGAAATCAGGCAGAGTACATGGCTCTTCGAAAGTAATACATCCACATCTTTTTTTTCCAACTGTTTGTTAACATCTCTCGGACAACTGCAGCAATATTTTTTGGGGACTAATAGAGTCACAATCTCTGTCAATGAAATGTATGTGTTTGCATATTTAAACAAGAAGAACAAGCCAAAGTGACGTTATAATGTGGGCACAATCTGTCAGGATGTGAGTAATGCTGAAAGCCACAGCTTTTTCTGTACCATCTGCTGGTGAACTGAGACATGACCTCTAGATGTGGTCAAGGCCTTTCGGCATTGGACGAACACTAGGAAAACATGAACAGATCATCATGGTCAAGAGAGAATGGTGTAATGAGGGGTGACCACAAAATTATATAATTCTGTTTATCAGCCATGTGTGCTACTGCAACAAATTTCCTATCTCCTTCAAATGTTCAAGACGACTAAGGAGGACAGACTTTCAGCCAAAAAAGATGGAATAGGCATGGCAAAATGTTTAGCTTTAAAGTAATCAAACATGCATGTCATAAGTGATGACTAAGGAGGACAGACTTCTGGCCCAATATGGAGGACTAGGCAGGGTAAAATATTTAGCTTCAAATTTATTTTTGCTTCTGACAGCACTTTGCTTTATGCGAAGACAATTCTAGATTCTTTTCATTACCTCTTCATATGGTTACAATAAGTTACATAATAACCATAATAATCTTATCCATACAATAAATTATTATTTAGAACCTCTTTTTTTTTTAAATCACATAACTATCTGGCTATGCACATTCCTCAGCAGTGTTCAATATCAGAAACCTCAATATCATGAGAATTAAGGGGCTGCAGCATATACAAAACATCTTGTGTAAAGATTATAACATGAACAACAAGCAGCAATCAGAGTCACTGGAGAACAACAAAACTGATTTTCCTGTGAGGTAGGGTTACATTCTCTCACCTTACCTCTTAAACATATATTCAAAGATCAAAATGAGAAATGTCAAAAGTGATTTTACATATGACAGTGTTGTTATAGCAAATTCCGGAACTCCTATGTACAGGTAACAAGTCTTCTCATTATGAACTGTGAAAAGGAATTGGAACAGTTAATCTTGTCTGTCAAGAATCAGGAGGAAGACCAAAATCTATTCATGAATTTAAAGAACATACTAGCCAGAATGGAACAAGCAGGATTCAGAAAGGGCAGAGGAACAACTGAACACATCTTCGCCATACGTAACATTTTAGAACAATGCAACGAATGGCAGAGAAGTATATATATTAATTTTGTGGACTTTGAGAAAGCTTTTGACAGCGTCCATAGAGACGGTCTGTGGAAAATTTTACGACATTATGGAATTCCAGAAAAAATAGTCAACATAATTGCTCTCTTCAATAAAGACTTTTCCTGCAGTATAAAAAATTACAATACATCTTTCCCAGTAAAGACGGGTGTAAGACAGTGATGTGTCATGTCATCTCTCCTCTTCAACCTTGTGATTGACTGGATACTAAAGAACACAGTAGACAGGACATTAAGAGGCATATGATGGACTCCATTCACCATGCTTGAGGACCTTGATTTTGCAGATGATATAGCACTCCTATCACATAAACATGAACATATACAAGAGAAAAGTAACAGACTACACAGCACATCAGAAATGGTGGGACTGAGAATAAATACAAAGAAAACTAAGATCATGACAAACAGTCCAAACCAACAACCAGTGACCATAAATAACCAATCACTTGAAAATGTAGAACATTTCACATATCTTGGCAGTGTGGTGACCCTACTGGGAGGGACAGAGGAAGACATACAGTCACGTCTGAACAAAGCTAGAGCTGCTTTTGGAAGGATGAGGCAAATCTGGAAATCCAACAATTACTGCAGAGGAATGAAACTCCGACTCTACAAGAGCATCATTTTGCCAGTTCTTCTTTATGGAGCGGAATGCTGGAGAATGACCAAAAAGGATGCACACAAGCTGTCCACCTTCCACCACACATGTCTACTTAGAATTATCAAACTTTTCTGGCCAGATACAATCTCAAACACTAAACTACTTCAAGCCACAAACCAAGAAACTTTAGACAGTATGATTACCAAGAGAAGATGGAAATGGCTTGGCCACGTTATGAGAATGACTTCTGATATACCTGCCAAAACAGCTCTCACATGGACACCAGAGGGAAAGAGAAAACAGGGGCGCCCAAAAACAACATAGAGACGAACGATGGAAAGTGACCTGAGTGCGGCATCTTTGACATGGAAAACTGCACTGAAGATTGCACAGGACAGGAAAGCATGGAAAGTCCTCTCTGAAGACTCATGTGCCACTAGGCATAACGAGAACTGATGATGACTGATGACTAGCCAGAATGACGTGCCTGACATTGAATGAGTTTAGAAATATATGTGATATATGTAGTAGCAAAGCATTAAACAAATGAAGGTATAAGCTGTTAGTAAAGAATTCATACAGGAAAAACAGGTGTTTACTTGAAGTTGTATCATAGTTCAACAAATGTTCTTCTGCTTGATAAGTCAACAGTTAAGATAAAAGTCAAAAAGATTGTGGTTAAAAGTCTAAGGTGTATTTTTAAAATTGTCATTTAAAAGTTATCCTTGTCATAAAAGCCTGAATAACCTTGAATAGGCCATGGACAGAGGCTATGCATTACTGGTGCTTTTGAAGGAAGTATAGAATAGTAATACTGTAATCAAATATGCATGTCATAAGTGATGGAGGAGGAATGACTTCTGGCCCAATTTGGAAGACAAGGCACAGCAGAATGTTTACCGTCAACATTATTTTTGCTTCTGACAGCACTTTGCTAATAGTTTCCCCATATGGATGGAAGTATACAGTTTAGCTGCCTAAGCTACTGAGTTGAGTGCTTAGTACAGCACTGTGAGCTGTGTTTTTCATATGGAATGCCTTTCATTTGTGCAGCGGCTGAGTCGTGGTACTGAATTTGCCTGGTAGCTGGTTTATGTGTAGGCTGGTGGTGAAATACCATATGTAATCAATTTATGAGTGTATAGCCAACTTTTCCTGACTACTTCTATCAAAGAAAACTGCATGTCTGATGGTGAATGTTTGGCTTTGATGCCTCTAGCAACTGCTGTGTGCGCATATTTCTGGATTGTGTCAGGACTAACTGATCACCAGTTTTTCAAAAAAGACAGTGAAGAATATTTCATTTGATTTTCACTGGCACAGGAATAAAGCATCTATAGGCTAACCTGACTGCAGTGAAGTTAAAACCTTGACTGAGATTGAGACTTCATACAGGCTAAATCATCCTATAAACAACTTGCCTGCATAATCCAAGCATTCATAAACGAGTCTGCACAGGCCACACATCTGTTGGAGGTGTTTGCTCCACTCGCAGAAAAAAGCCACAAGTAAAAGCAAACAAATTAAATTTAAAAAAATTAATAAAGGTTGGCTATATGACCCACTGTTGTCCTTAGAGATAATATGTGATGAGGACCCAGTTTCATCCACAGATATGTGTGATTTTATGCCACTGTCTAAAATTAATTGGAAAATAAACTGTCTGCCACATATATTGAACCTGTATACTTGAGTATCATAAAACTGTTGAACATGCTCACTAACTTGTGAGACACACAACCACACTAACAAATAAAATAACATAAAAGATGATATAAATTGTTCCTACCTTGTCACCAATATCTAAGGCCTCATTGTAGTAAGTAAGAGCTGTCTTGTAGTCGTACTGTGCAAAGTAGCAGTCACCCAGAATCTGCAGAATGCGCATGTGTTGTCGTTTTTCACCAACTAAAGACTCCTTCATGAAGGCTCTCCCAATTTCCAGAAACTTTGTGGCTTTATGATGCATGCTAAGAACATTGTATGTATTGCCTAGAATATACAGGTTCTGACAGACCAACCAGAACCTTTGCTGCGGAAGTTCTGCAATCTTTTCATCGTACAGATTCCAAAATGTTTCAAATGCTCTGGAGCACATGGACACACACTTGTGGTAGGCTTTCATTTTGTAGTAGGTGATACCCAGCAGTGACAATACCAAGCTGTGGTGAAACGTGTACAATGTCAACCCGTGGGCATGCTTGATCATGTGAAGGGCAAGTTCGAAAACATGTGAAGCTCTGGGATACACATGCAGCATGAAAGTCGAAACACCCAGCATGCTTAAAACATGAGCATTCTCCAGAACTGACTCTTTTCCATGGAAGCCAGAATTGCGATGAAGCTTGAGAGCTTTCTCATACCAGTCAAGTGCCTCTGTATATTCTTTCTGAACAAAGTGACAGTCGCCGAGTTTTCTCATTGCCATGGCAATGACTTGCTGCTGTGTTTCTTCATTGTTCTCTAAAACTTGGAGGGCTTCTGTATAGCAGGTCACTGCTTCAGTAATCCGCTTCTGCTGCTCAATATCTTCTGGTGACTCATTGCCTGTGGGTTTTTCTGGCGTAGAACCGCCTGTATTTTCTTCATCAGATGCTTCCCTTTCAAAAAATTCACAGATTGCTGCAATTACTTTGTCATACAGTGTGTCATCATTGAGATCATTTGCATATGCATTACCAAGGTCAATCAGAACCCGGGCCACTTCTTTATGGGCTTCAACATCTTGAAGGTCTTTATAAATTTTAAGTGCCTTTTTCAAATTTTTCATGCCATTGTGCCTGTTGCCTTGGCGGAAACACAACATACCTGTGTTCTGAAGTAGAAGAGCACTGAAACGAAGCAATTTGACAGTCCCATCTTGAATATCTTCAATGATCTGAAGAATTTCTTCACAAAGATTTTCTGCAGTAGAATATTCTTCAGTTTGAATAAGTTTTTGAACTACCTGTTGGAAAGCTCGTGCAATTGTCAGTCTTAAAGAATTCTCTTTCAAAGGGCTGAATTTTTCTTTCTCTTTTTCCTTTGTTTCTTCTTCCATATCGACCGATGGACTTTCTGTTCTTTGTGAATCTGTAATTGTCTCTTTGGAAACATTCACTGCATCAACTGTTTCAACTATTGTGGGAACAATTTCACTTCCTTCACTATCATCTGGCACCCTTGTCTCTGAGACAATTTCAACTACACTTTCAACAATGCAATTTTTACGCTTCTCAAGAAAAAAGTCCCACCCACTAGTATCCACATCACTGGAGGCAAGCTCGTACATGAGAGAATAGTCTTTCACTATGGAATCTATTCTAGATTTTTCATTTATATCTGCAGCTGTGTAAGTCTTTGAATCAAAAATGTCCTCCTCCTCCTCCTCTTCTTCATCCCCACATTCTTTTCTTTCTAATTCAATACTCGTTATTTCTTTGGCAAGATCTATTTCAGTCTCTTCAGATATTGTTTCAATTTCCACCTTCTGATTTGATGGTGAACTATCATCCACTTCCTTGATGCTGCAAATTTCTGTCATGATGTCTTTAACATTTGTACTCTCAAGCCTAAGATGGCAGTATTTCTGAATTCTGCTGAACCAATTGATGTTACCTAATGAAGTATGGCCTCCTTTCAGAGGTGGCTCATGTAGACTTTCAATGCTGAATGCATGATTCATATACCCTGAATGATACGGCCGCAGGCCACCTATCAAATGTGGTGAAACGGAAAGAGGGTAACGAGAATGAGGAGTCAGCGGTGTCTTGGAATGAATCAGATTTGTTATGTGATGTGGGTCCACCTGTCTCCAGTCCTCTTTCAACCAGTTGAACAGAGTTCTTCCCAGGACCTCAACTAACGATTGTGCTCTAGAGTCTGCAAACTTACTCTGGGCAGTGAACCATTCGACACTCTGATTGTCTGTCTCTGTGTGAAGTTCTGCTGCACACATATCCACCACCTCCCCAAGGAGAGTACAAGCATGAACACACAACCAAAACCACTCCAATGGACTCTGCCTAAAGGCCCTGCTCTGACGAGTACACACCTCTGATAAACCAATATATGCTTCAATTAAAGCTCTTGTGTTATCCTCTGCTTTTTCCTGCAACAGGAAGGTGCATTTCAGAAACTGCCGCTCTGCATCATTCAATCTCAGCTCCTCAAGACTCTGTTTGGCCTTTTCCAACAGGGTCTCAGCGTCAAGTTCTTCCATTTCAGTGTCTTCATCTGTGCTCTGAAAAACAATTTGTAGAATAATTGTAGAACTCTTCCATTAAACAATGAAAGTATAAAAATTCAGGATCTGTTTCATGCCAGTGGCACATCGGCCATATGTACAGCTTTTGTTTCTAGAACAAAAGGTGCCAGTATGCACCAAAAAGTGTCTATAAGTATTTCAGGATCCTCACCGGTGCAACAGAGCCTGTGCGCTGTGCTGAGCTTCTACGGACTCAGACTTGATAGAAAAAGAGCAGAGCACTTACGGGTTACATCCATATGCCATGATGTTGATCCGTTGTTCAAAACCTCAAGTGTTTAAAATAGGTGCCAGTACTTATCACAAAGTATATATTAAATTAGCCATGAAAAAATGACGCCTTAAAAAAAATGGGGGAGATGGTATTTGGTATCATTGCCAATCACCAGAAGAAAAGCCCTGGGCATGTGATGCTAGGCTCGTATATTTTATATATAGAATAACTAGCCCCCAACAGTCAATATTATTTCCCAGGACATTACCTTGTATTTATTTTAGGCTGGGTTGTCGGACAGTCAAGGTGAATTTTGAAAAAAAATTACCTTAATGTGGATTTGAACTGAAGACCTCCCAGCAAACAGTCAACAGTAATCAGCTGAGGAACAGTCTCACTGCAAACTGCTGTAACAGCCCTAAACCAAAAGATTTACTCACAACTCAGATGAGCAACATCTCCTGTGGGCCATAGCTCATGGCCATATCCTGTAGCACAACAGCAGTTTTAGTTGTCCAAATATCGAATGCCTTACAGTGCGACAGGCAAGGCTCAAATGTCTGCTACCGCTGACCCCACTTGTCAAAGTGTCTGAACCAAACTGAGAACCGCTGGCTGACGCACGCTTTTCCTATATTGTCATGCTATGTGTCTCAATCAACATTAAAGGTGTCTAAAGTGCTCAAGATGATTGCACCCATCTGCATAGCAGTAAACACAAGGTTTAATAAACATCTGCTACCACTGGCCCCACTCATCAGAGTGTCTAAACTAAAAGGGGAACTCCTGCCTTATGCATGCTCTTCCTTTACTGATGCTTTACCTTGACTGTCTCATCTACACCAATGCAATTCTGCAATTCTAGAAACAAACCATTTTCTCTGTGCTTTACTACCTACTGTGATTTGAATGTAACAGCCAAGGGCAGGTACCCTTCGATTCCTTGCCTACACCAGTAGGAGAAAGAGCTTTTCTTTTTTGCGCTATGGTATTGTGTCTGACATTTCGTCAAAACATGTAATATGCAGCTTATAAATGCTTGTTTAACTAATAATTATTATGGTAAACTTTCATAAAAACATTTTTTTTTAAACAGAATATTTCACAAAAGTAACAGATGTTCTTTTTCTTAAACATACATTGAAAAATTACATTTTGCTTACATTAGATTCCATCTTGTTGGAATCAGCATAGTCTTCTATTAATGATCTGTTTTCATGCTGATTTTCCTGGCCATGCTGTGACACTCCTCTGTATTCATCCAGCTTTGCATAGCCATTATGTACACCTGACAAATATATGAGAAATACATTTATATTACTGTGGACTATAGTATTGAACTGATAAATAAATAAAGCAACAGATCTTAGATAAAGAGAAACATCTGTGCTGGCATTCATGTATGTCTTTACATTGTGACAGATACACCCAAGAGCAGACATGGAATATTTACATAAGTACGTAAGTCTGCTTGTTTGTTTGTGTGGCGTGTCTATAATGGAGGTTGTCTATGGGGGAGGGAGGGTGTCTTTTCCATGGGTGCTGAAAGAGTAACTATACGCCTATGGACATTGTAATACATTTTATTTCTGTTTGTTTTTAAATGCGTATAGGCTGCTTATTTATCATTTGTATCGTCAATTACAAAGGATGTTCAGTATTCCGTCTCATTTACTTTATCTATTTAAAGTAGGTATATAGTAGGTCCACCAATAATGACTGCAGAAGTTGAGGATGCATTACATCATATGAAGAAAGGAAAAGCACCTGGGCCAGACAACATCTCACTGGAAAAAATCGAAGCACTGGGAGATTTTGGAATTGAAATAATAACTAAACTTTTTAATGATATTTATAATAGTGGGTATATTCCAAATGACCTTTTAAAATCCATATTTATAGCTCTGCAAAAGAAACCAGGCACTTTAAAATGTGGAGACCATCGCACAATAAGTCTTATGTCACATGACTAAGATTTTACTGAGAATAATTATGAGAAGAATAAGAAACAAAATTAAACCAGAAATCAGCGATGAACAATGTGGATTTGTAGAAGGAAAAGGTACAAACAAAGCCATATACATCTGAAGGACATTGTCAGAAAGAGCTATAGAAGTAAAGACTGATTTGTACTTATGCTTCATAGACTACACAAAGGCATTTGACTGTGTGAAGCATGAAGAAGTAATTAAACTGTTAGAAAAATTAAACATTGATGGAAAAGATCTAAGAATAATAAAGAATATGTATTGGCAGCAAACAGCAGCTATAAGAATTAACAACTGTTTGGGTATATTTCAAAGCATAAAGAGGATGTGTACTGTCACCTGATTTGTTTTCAATATACAGTGAATATATAATGAGATCTTTAATTGATATGCCCGGAATTGTGGGCACAATATAAACAATTTACTTTTTGCTGATGACACAGTCTTGATAGCAACAAGTCAGAAAGAACTATAGGAAATGATAGACATTGTGGTGTTAGAAAGTGGATGAATGAGCCTCAGTTTGAATAATGGGAAGACAGAAGTAATGGTGGTATCAAAGAAACGAATTATTCCTAAATGTGTAATAACAGTCGATGGTGTTATTTAAGGACAAGTACAGAAATTTAAGTATCTGGGCACATGGATAACATCAGATGGAAGATGCATAACTGAGATAAGAAACAGAATAGGACAGGCAAAAACTGCATTTTATAAAATGAAAAACATCTTGTGCAATATATCCTTGTCATTGAGAGTTAGAAAAAGAATTCTTGCTTGCTACATATATCCAGTTTTAACATATGGCTGTGAATCCTGGACAATCTGAAGGCGGGCCAAACAATTTCATGAGGCCTCAGAGATGTGATTTTACAGAAGAATGCTTAGAATACCTTGGACAGCCAAAAAGAGCAACCAAGAGGTTTCAAAAGAGGCTGGAGCCTGAAGACAACTTATCAAAGACATCAGAAGGAGACAGTCATCATTTTTCAGCCATGTTATGAGAAGAGGGAAAATATAACATGTTGTGACCACTGGAAAGATCTGTGGAAGGAAGGATAGAGGAAGACAACGAGAGAAGATGCTTGACAGTCTTGTTGCATGGCATGGAGGTGTGTCGGCACACAAACTGATACAAGCTGCAGGAGATCGCAGATTGTGGAGAGGCATGATTGCCCACGCCAGTCGGCTAGGCACCTTATGATGATGATATAATAGTCCTTGAGGAAGAAATTAGGGGCTTCTGAGCTGAAATGCTATAGAAAGATTCTCAGAATACTATGAACAAACAAAAAAGAAAAGAAAAACACTGACATCCTAAAAGATGTAAACATCAAGGAAGATTGGCTAGTACCCAGCATCTTGTCTTGGAAACTGAAATATTTAGGCCATATCAAGCACCAGGGCAATTTGGACAAAATTATAGCAGAAGGCATGATCCTAGAAAAGAGATGCAGGGGCCGAACAGTACGAAGGTGGGCACAGGATATAAGTGACATCTTGAGTAGGAAAGAACAAGAGGTGGAAGCGCTGGCAAGAGACAGAGTTTCCTTCAGACAGACAATGATCTTCTTCTTCTTTGTATCCACTGGCTGTAAACTCCAGAGAAATGTTTTGGCTGTTCATCCATCTCTGAACTTTAGATTTGTTCTAGATATGCTGCGTGCAAATCCATTTTTCAGATCTGACTTATTTGTATGCAGACTGATGGTTCCTTGCCTCTAAGGCAGAGGCACTCCAACTTCGAAGGAAACCCCCAATGAGTCGATCCTTACAACATTCTTTTCAGGAAGGCACTGGGTCTATTCTTGTTTTCCACACAGTGGGGCCTTGGAACCCACACAGGGAAAGCAGACCACGCTAAGAGCACTGTTCTGTAATGGATCTGCTATGTGATGATGAGGTATATATAGTTACTTTTCAAACCTTCAGATAGAGATGTACTACTATATTCTGAGCCTGTATATTGTAGGTGTATAGTCACTTTTCAAACACACTCAAACACTCTGCCATTCTATACCAGTTGTTTCTGTCTGGGGCAAAACAAAATTTATTAACCCCAAGCCTGTGGCAACTGCACAAGCCACAGAGCCCTACAACCTTCATGTTCAAGGGTACATTCATGCAGTATAAACAGCGATTTTTCCTTCTTTTTAATTTTTAGTTTAGTACTTGTTACTGACTTAACCTGAATGGACTGGTCTAACTATTGTGCATGTCGAAGATTCTACTCACAAAGGTATCAATAAATATCCCAGTTGTTCTTCACCTTCATCAGCAGGCTAAAACCCTGCAACATCTGAAGTGATGTTTTATACTACTGTATGACAGCACTATTTGGAATAAATATTCACAGCTTGAAAACATCACATTGCTGGTACAAATACAACAATAAAACATAATATTAACGAAAGACAGAATCTGTAACCACTTCAAACTGTTGGACACGGCCAATAATGAATGTTTCATCTGGTATGCAACTGAGGAAAGGTCTCTATTTGTCAAATGCAAATGGTTGACTTTACCTCTTTCAGGTCCCTGGTTTCGGGCATTGTGTAAATATTCTTACCCGCTATTCCCATTGCATGAACAAACAGAGAGTTGGTGATGTTTACACAGGACCAAATGATCCCAACTTTTTTTTTCTTCTGCTTTTTCATGTTCTAGAAACATCTTTCAATTTTCTTTGCTAAACTACGTTCAGTAAATACATGATGCGCCTTTTCATCGTCACCATCATCAAGTGTCTCTACACACTTAAGGTCTGTTCTAATGGGTCTCAAGCCCTGTCGGTTCTGTCTTCGCTTAAGTTATGACCCCTGGTACTTCACAGGGGGTATTTATTCCCCGTGCCCACGCATGTAGACAGTCTGCAGAGAAACCATCGACCCGGCTGCTTCGAGATACCAACTAAGTGATTTTGTGTATTTGTGTGGTATTGTTTGATTTGTAGGTTCCATAGCCGCAACCTTCACATTTTGTTTGTATTTGTTATATTGTGAAGCTTGCTAATATACTTTCTTTCGGTTTTATATCTTTTCTTATCTTCATGGTGTACTCACAGGGGCTTTTCCCCACCCATCTCTTGTTATTGTAACACATAGCTTCCAGCTGCCTTCCAGTTTTTGGTAATTTAACAAACTCCACTGTAGTTGTCCCTTTACATCTTTTTTGTTCCAGTGTACATATGATGCTATCTTCCTCTTACCCTTAACTTGTTGGTAATTTAACCTATTTCAACCAATGTATTACTTTAACTCTTTCAGTATGGTGCGTAACAGACTGTCCTAAATTAATCCCAGCCATCGTGTAATGAGTTTTTTCCCGTTGTGCCACTGGTCACATGACACTAAAGAAATACGACTTCCATACTGGCTACTTCGGCTGCCTGATTTGGCTGTTTAAATGTTATACATTTGTGACTATTCTTAGTAGTAATTCATTACCCTGGGCATCTGCTGTGAGAATCCCTATGCTTGAGTTAACTCCTTCTGCCGCTGTCAGTTATAACTTTCAACTCCTCCTAGCCATTTCATAGTGATAACTTCCTGGGATGGAATAAATATTTGTACAGCCTATGTATCCAGGAATCTCCTGGCCTCACAACTATCCTACCACTTATTTCCAGCAGCCAAACATGTGACAACTTTTTTAATGCTCTCTGTTAAATTATATAATCTGAACCATTTTTAGCTGACAGTGCATGCCATTTCAAACGCTACAGAGTATTAGTGTTCAGTTAAAGGTGTAACCAAATAGGAACAAGACGTCCTAGAAATAAAGCTGGAATGTTCTGTAGTGTCGCCCTAGCAGCGATAAATGTCAGGTTCATAAATAACGTTACAACAGTTTCTTAGGTCAAAGAAAAAATGTTTACAAGTGATAAAGCAATATATAAATGTCACACACATGGTCACATTTGAAAGCTATCTGTTGTATACAGTTATCACTCAAAGGTAAAGCACTGGTTCTCAAACTTATTCACACCGCTACATCTTTGTCTCTGTGTAGATGTGTTTTGTTTCCCACAACCCTAGAAGGTTGTGGATAGTCACGGCATGGACTTGAAGAAGAAGAAGAATGAGTGAGTGAGCTGAGCTACTTCAGCAAGGGTACCAGTTATGTGGTGACTGAAGTTGAACAAATGTAATATAAAATATGTTACACACGATTGGCTGGCCGAGTAGTTACATCATCGGGCTCTCGTGCGAGGGACAGGGATTCGACCCTCGGTAAAGCGATGGGGTTTTTCTGTTTAGGGCAAAATTACACAACCTAACCTGCACAGTCCGTAGCGACAGCACTAGCCATGCGGCCCTAAATTCTCAGGACCACGACCCCCTGTCTACGCCGCACTAAAATGGTAAAACAGACAGTAGTGTCAGTGACAGTTTTTACACACGATGTTTATTATAAGCTGAAACAGACTAGACTAGTGTTTTTCAAACGGTAGGCTGCAGGAAAAGTCTCTTTGGACAGCTAAAATTGTCTGCCAAGCAATGTAATGGGGTAGCCTCCCTAATGAACCTAACATTTCTCTTGATAGGGGGACGTGTACAAATAATGGATGAGCTGAACATTTTCGTAATTATTTCCATGAAAATGAGGATCCTTGTAAAGACAACCTACTAATCAATAATCCATTCTTGGAACTAGAATATTCATCTCTGAGTTACAGAGCTATTATATGGTGTGTGTGTTTTTTGTTGTTTTTTTTCGACTTTATATTTGTGCGTAAAGTCTTTCTCAGCCATGTCAGTATTAAAAACCAACCTGAGAATTCAAAAGGATATTATTGCAGTGCTTCGTCCATCTGAAACAAAGCTCCAGTCACGTATATCAATTTGTCAAACCTCTAAGCAGCAGAAGATGTCGCATTAACTTGAAATTTTAATTTTGTGACATCGGATTTAACCAATCAACAGTTATCTACATTAGTTTCTGTATCTGGTGTCAGATGGGCCGTGAAACCACTTTCCCCTGATTTGTTGGGTCGTGTGTGTAAAAAAGTTGAGGAACACTGGACTAGCTAGACTAAGTCTGCGGTCATTTGGCACCGTTTGTGGCAGTAGCAGGCGTGAATTCAGACCGAATGTACAACTGAGTATTTTCAAAATTATTAAGTATTCTACGATCTATGTCACACGCACTTTTAAACTGTTCCAACTCAAATATATATATTTGCCAGAAAATGTATTTAGGCGTGTGAAAAGTAAATATTTTGTCTGTTAAAAAAATTAAACTATTCCCTCTGTAAAATGTAAAAACTGTCCCGTTAATAGGCATAGCGTCTAGCGCGGGTCAGACCAACCGATATGTCACAGCCATTATTCTGTTAACAGTACAGACATCGGGGAAATGTTGCCTCTCAGTTTGTGCTGCCGTAAATGATTAGCAACTAGCTAAGGCGGTAATGGGGTCTGACTGTGGATGATACTGTGACGTTGGTTCTAGAACCAACATATCGCATCACTTAAGTAAGATGCAGCTAAAAAAAAAAGGGGGGGGGGGAGGGTGGCGATAGAGAAAACATAACAATTTTTACAGCCCACCCCTTCGAACGTTTTTTTTTTTTTTCATGGCAGTCTGTTCCCACGAGTACACCTCAATACGTGAATCATTCATGTCCCACTTGCAAACATCTTTATATCGTAGTAGAGATCGCCTCTCAAGCAGATGCATAGAAAACACCCCTAGTTTGTCGCCTTTTACTGAATCCATGTTAGGGGGGGGGGGGTGGGTCTATTCTTTCTTCCTAAACCAGGGCCATGGAACACGCATGGGGACACAGCCTAAGTCAAAGTCAGGATTACTTTTGTCGTTACTAGATACATGGACCCTTACTACAACCAAGAGCGGAAGATGGTAGCAACGGAGATTAGATGTTTTAGGAGAGTTACCGGTGTGACAAGAACAGATAAAATCAGGAATGAAGAAATTAGAAGAAGACTAGGAATGAAACCAGTCATTCAATTCATTAAAGGTCAACAAGTGAGATGGTTTGCCCTCCTGATGAGAATGCCCTTGAACCAGCTGCTACAGAGAGCCACGCTGGATAAATATAATGAACACAGAGCAAGGGGAAGACCACGCAAGACACGGAGCGACACCGTCAGGAGAAGCCTAACATCAATGAACACCAGCTTGTATAATTCATTGAGAAAGGAGCATAAACGAACCTTACATTAACCCCAAACACCTTGCTGAGGTAAATGGTGAAAGAGAAGAAGAAGAAGAAGAAGAAGAAGAAGAAGAAGAGGAGGAGGAGGAGGAGGAGGAGGAGGAGGAGGAGGAGCAGGAGCAGGAGCAGGAGGAGCAGGAGAAGAAGAAGAAGAAGAAGAAGAAGAAGAAGAAGAAGAAGAAGAAGAAGAAGAAGAAGAAGAAGAAGAAGAAGAAGAAGAAGAAGAAGAAGAAGAAGAAGAAGAAGAAGAAGAAGAAGAAGAAGAAGAAGAAGAAGAAGAAGAAGAAGAAGAAGAAGAAGAAGAAGAAGAAGAAGAAGAAGAAGAAAGAAGAAGAAGAAGAAGAAGAAGAAGAAGAAGAAGAAGAAGAAGAAGAAGAAGAAGAAGAAGAAGAAGAAGAAGAAGAAGAAGAAGAAGAAGAAGAAGAAGAAGAAGAAGAAGAAGAAGAAGAAGAAGAAGAAGAAGAAGAAGAAGAAGAAGAAGAAGAAGAAGAAGAAGAAAGAAGAAGAAGAAGAAGAAGAAGAAGAAGAAGAAGAAGAAGAAGAAGAAGAAGAAGAAGAAGAAGAAGAAGAAGAAGAAGAAGAAGAGAAGAAGAAGAAGAAGAAGAAGAAGAAAGAAGAAGAAGAAGAAGAAGAAGAAGAGAAGAAGAAGAAGAAGAAGAAGAAGAAGAAGAAGAAGAAGAAGATAGAAGAAGAAGAAGAAGAAGAAGAAGAAGAAGAAGAAAGAAGAAGAAGAAGAAGAAGAAGAAGAAGAAGAAGAAGAAGAAGAAGAAGAAGAAGAAGAAGAAGAAGAAGAAGAATAAGAAGAAGAAGAAGAAGAAGAAGAAGAAGAAGAAGAAGAAGAAGAAGAAGAAGAAGAAGAAGACGAAGAAGAAGAAGAAGAAGAAGAACGAAGAAGAAGAAGAAGAAGAAGAAGAAGAAGAAGAAGAAGAAGAATAAAGACGAAGAAGAAGAAGAAGAAGAAGAAGAAGAAGAAGAAGAAGAAGAGAAGAAGAAAGAAGAAGAAGAAGAAGAAGAAGAAGAAGAAGAAGAAGAAGAAGAAGAAGAAGAAGAAGAAGAAGAAGAAGAAGAAGAAGAAGAAGAAGAAGAAGAAGAAAGAAGAAGAAGAAGAAGAAGAAGAAGAAGAAGAAGAAGAAGAAGAAGAAGAAAGAAGAAGAAGAAGAAGAAGAAGAAGAAGAAGAAGAAGAAG